CTGTCGCCCCACAGTAAGAAGGTCGGCTGGGTCAGTTGGCATTTCTGTGGGGATTTAGCATGTTCTCCCCATGTTCGCATGGGTGCTATGGTTTGCCCAAGTAGGTAAGCTAAGTTGTTCATAGTGTATGTGTGTGAATGAGTGTGTATGGGTGTTTCCCAGTGATGGGTTGCAGGGCCAGCCCGTGGCATAGGCAGCATAGGCAAATAAAGCCTAGGTCGCAGCGCAGCGCCATGCAGCACCATGTATTTTAGAATTCTAAACATAGGTTTCTATCAGGATACACACACCGGCGCCGCAAGTCGGTGGCTGTCGGCGGCGCCTGGCGACGGCTCAGGACGCAGTTCATTTTTCAGCCGTGCCACAGAGCGCCATCTGATTAGTTTCATGTTAAATATCATTCGAATGTGTGCGTCTGGTGTGTGATACTTTAAACTGTCATGTACGCGCCGTGTCGCGGTGCCAAGCGGCGCTTCTGGTGTGCGACCTGCTTAAGGGCGCAGTAGATCCAGGGGGGCGCCAGAAATAAGGGATGAAAAATAGTTACTTCCACTATTTTTAAAACTATGGTATTACTTCAGAAAGGAATAAGCCCACATTATTTTAGCTGTATAGTGCAAAGCCTTCTACTACTAATAATAATATCGCCTAAGACCCCCCTGCCCTGAAAGTTTTTTGATGGGTCAAGCTTGGCATGTCAAAACGTTTCAAACTGTCTGGTGCGCAGGGGAGGCAAAAAAGAAAGAAAAGTGGAGGAAAAAAAAACGGAAAAAAAAAAGATGATTATTTTGCTGTGTCCGAACGAGGATTGATGACGGCAATAATAATTATCTTGAAGCATTGCTGTCAAATCTCCTGTTTTTGCCCGCAATCATCATTAAGTATTTTCCCATATTCTACCCTGTATGTTTAATTTTTATATGAAAAGTGAAAGAACCATCAATAGAGACCCGTTCTCGTAAGATGATTGCACGAGCTGTTCAAGAAAATTGTGCTTTCGCTTTATTTTGGCTTGAAAGCACGTTAAATTATTATAAAAATAGCTGCATTTACTTTGTTTCCATTAAAGCTTTGCGTCGATCGTCGCAACCTCTAAATCAGTTTAGCCCACAGCATGCCTGCTGACTGACGGACATGTCAGGTATGAGAAATTGTTCCCAGATAAGCTTCTGATTTTGGGGGGTAGTGTTTGGAGAGTGTAGAGTGTGAAAAAGTGTAATTAAATAATGGAATAGCAAAAATGTTTTAATAATGTTGCTTGGAGTTGCATATTATATAAAGTCAATATAAGCACAAATATGGTTTTAATGAAGAGAGATTTTTAAATCCAGTCAACATTCAGAATGGATAATGACTGGACTAGTAAGGCAACAAATTCAAGCAATATTATAATCTTTTTGACGATAGAATGAGGTTTGTGTAAAAATTAATGTTCAGGTAATATTTTGATGAACATTGGAGAGATTGACTATGTTTTTGTCCACAGTGTGAGTCTTCTGTGTTAGAATTAAACATTTACTGATTGTGAGTGGCAGTATATCTCCCCTACATGTTGAATATGCAAGAGAGAATCTGATAATGACAAATTTTTTATTTGAAAATGGTCTATTTATATGTAGTCAATGACAGAGTGCAAGAATATGTGTATAGCATAATCATCTCATAATTTCATTTTAAAAATATTCAGAATTATGCATATAGTTGTATTCTGATGTCATGACTTTTTTTTGCATTGGACCTGAACCATGGCCTCTTCTCAAAAGCCCCCCATCTCCCATGTATTTATAATATTTGTTATAAGCAAATATATAAAAATATTTTTATTTATTTTAAATAAAAAAGTATTATTATAATTGTTGGTATTATTATTATTAATATTATAAAATTTATATTCTAAACAAGTAGCAGAAATTTGTCCTAAATGTAACTGTAACACAAAGACAAAACTGGAGTGATATGCTAGGATCATTTAAAGTTCTTTGCAGGAATAGCATATTAATTTAATTAATTTTGCATTTCTGTGTGGAGTTTGCATGTTCTCCCCTTGTTGGCGTGGGTTTCCTCTGGGTGTTCCGGTTTCCCCCGCAAGTCCAAAGACATGCGCTATAGGGGAATTGAATAATCTAAATTTGCTGTAGTGTATGAATGTGAATGTGTATGGATGTTTCACAGTACTGGGTTGCAGCTGAAAGGGCATCCACTGTGTAAAACATATGCTGGAATAGTTGACGGTTCATTCCGCTGTGGTGACCCCTGATTAAATAAAGAGGCTAAGCCGAAAAGAAAATGAGTGAATGAATGAGAATTGTCTCTTGTCTTTTAGAACCGACTCATAATGATTTTAGGCCTAATCCTACCTCCCTGACTTTTCATCCCTATCCCTCCTTTCTGCATCATAGCATGTTTAGTTAAAATATCCGTTTTCACAATGCATGCGCGCAGCGTATTTTTTCGACGTGCATGTTACAACTGGGATTCCTCTTCTGTCCTCAGATGTGCTGCTGATTCCCACAGTTGCAAAAACTGCTTCCTAAGAATTTTGAATGTACAATTGCTTTGTTTAATTTAAAAAATGTCCAAGACAAAGCTAATAAGTTTCTTAAATGTACACTAGCTTTGGAATTTACTGTGATGTGACAAGGCGCCACCTAAAATCTTGCCTAGGGCGCCAAATTGGTTTGGGCTGGCCCTGACGGATTGTAACTGGAAGGTCATCCGCTGTGTAAAACATATGCTGGATAAGTTGGTGGTTCATTCCGCTTTGGCAACCCCTGATTAATAAAGGGGCTTAGTTGAAAAGAAAATGAATGAATATACATCCAAATCAGTGCTTCCCACAGGTATGAAATATACTTGCTATAGTAGCCCAATTGAAAGCACCTTTTACCCACAGCACAAATATTTAACTACATGCAACAAGCAAAAAATAATATGATTTTTAACAATATTTTCATTTATTATGACACTGTTGTACACTTTTTCTTTTCAACGGGTGAAACTTATTTTTTCCTGAAAAAAGCTGTTCAAATAAAAAAATAAATCCACTATTCTCTTATTTTTATGCTGTTCATGAGACATGTTCACCCATTGGTAAAAGCTGCTCTCTTTTTCTCTCAAGTTCAGGGTCAAGTTTCTTTATTGACATGACATTTTATGCTGTATTGCCAAAGCATTTAGTACATGTATAAAATGTGTAATATACAGAAATGGCAAAAGAACACACATCCTTCCAAGTACAGATACTCATGTTTAAAACAACTTTGGTAAAAGTAGAAGTACTGACTACACTTTTGTACTTAAGTAAAAGTAAAGAAGTACAGCCTCAAAAATGTACAAAAATAAAAAGCACCTGTTAAATAATAGGTAACTAAGGGTGCTTTCACACCTGCCTTATTTAGTTCGATTGTATCGCACTAGAGTTCGTTTTCTCTTTTGGTGTGGTTCGTTTGGGCAGGTGAGAATGCAGCAATCGTACTCGAGTGTGCAACAAAAGCGGACCAAATAAGCGTACCTAGACCTGCTTGAAGAGTTGGAGCAGTTCGTTTGTGGTGAGAATATGATTCGTACTAAAACAGGTCCAAATCCAGGACTAATCCAGCTGCCGTAGGCCGATGCGCTGTGCATTATGAGATATGGAGGAAAAATATTTGTTGACAGTGCTTTACTAACACACACACAGAGAGAGAGAGAGAGAGAGAGAGAGAGAGAGAGAGAGAGAGAGAGAGAGAAAACATTACCTGATGGATCGTTGGTAATATTTCCACAAGATGACCATGTCACAGTTTAGCTAAATTAATTCATGTCTCCTCCTGAAGTGATGAGTGATGCATTAAAACACTGTTTTCCGGCCGCAGCCGCGCTTTATTCTTGAAATTTATAGTCTGTCTAAGTCAGGCATACAATCAGTCAGCACTGTCGTCCCTCCAGAGTAAAAGCAACATTTTGCGTCTGCCGGTTTTGTTTACTTGCGGGAGTTCATTGGCATTTTCCCACACGTGAATTCTAACTAATCAGTAAGCAGTTTAGGAAATATCTTCAACAACATCTGGCCAATGAGAGATGTGGATTTTGTCAGATGACTGCATTTTGGTTCGTTTCAAGTGGTTCAGACCAAAGCCAGCAGTGTGGTGTGAAAACGACCCAAAGACGGCAGAACATGCAACAATGTATCAATTATTGTCCTTGGTCCGGACCAAACGAAGCAAACTACAGATGTGAAAGCACTCTAAATTGGCAGTAGTGTATAAATGTGTGTGTGAATGTAAGTGTGTATGGGTGTTTCCCACTACTTGGAAGCAGGGCCGGCGCGTCCATAGAGGTGACCTAGGCAGCCACCTAGGGCGGCAGTATAGAGAGGGCGGCATCTGCGACACCTCCCTTACCACCCGCGTTCTCAGTTATGTGTGCGACACCTCCCTCAGCACCCACGCGTCCTCAGGTATATCTGCGTATAGGGCGGCAGAATAGAGGTCCGCGACACCTCACTTCATTTTCATAACCGGTCACTTTCGTTTTCACATTGGGGTTGAGGTGTGATCGTCCTCTGTCTAGAGCGGCAGTTCAGCTTGCTCCGGCCCTGACTGGAAGGGTATCCACTGTGTAAAACACAGTGCTGGAATAATTGGTGGTTAATTCTGCTGTGGCAACCCCGTATAAATTAAACTAACTGCCATTTCCAATTTTTATGTAAAATGTTTGCTGCCAGTTTCATAAAAGGAGCCAAGCAGCATCTCTCCCTGTAATATAACCTCACAACATTGCTCAAAAAGGTGGCTCATGTATCATCATGCTGACGCAAACTCACAGCATTTATCATGTAGTTTTGTGGCTGTTAGATCAAAAACATCAGCTGCCATTCATGTTCATATACTCTAAAATAATTCTGTAGGCCTGTCTATCTTTATAAATAATTACATCCAAAATATATTCATTTACATAAATTATATATATATATATATATATATATATATATATATATTATTGCATGCATTTTTTTTCAGGTTTTCCTCACCCAATCCTGAACCATCTCCTGGGAATTCTTTTATGGATCATGCAGCATCTCCCACCGTGAATCAACACCATAACTTCACTATCTATCCAGCAATGTAAGTTCGATTGAATGTTCTTGATTGTTTTTCCCCCATGCCATTTATGTCATATAACAAAATCAGTGCATGACTGCTGTGGATGTATGTGTACATCTGAAGGAATGACACCATGATAGACGCAGAGGGAGAATTTGACCTGGACGAGACCATGGACATGGCCCGACAGGTGGAGGAGTTTCTCAGGCAACCCATGGAAACCACGTGGAGTGGACAACAGTCGTGACCTTTAACCTTGTGATCTCTCATCCCAACTACACAAACTCAATGGTTCTATTCCATAATTTCATCTTAAGAAATGTGAAATGTTTGTCTTAGCTGATCAGTGGATGTTTATCTGCCTTTGCTTTTCATAATAGTTTGATGTGTAATTTCCTATTAACCAGCAAAACATAGTAGAGTGTCATGTACACTGATGATGTGGACTTCTATTTAGCTGGATATGAATGGCTGCTTTTCTAGTCTAATGTTGGTTTGCTACTATTATTAACTTTTACTGCTTTTGTTATAGGCATCTTATAACTATTTTATGATGATCAAATCTTTAAATCAATTCAGACGGTTAGCTCTTTAAAGACATTTGAGCTCTCTGTGTAATTTGTCCACCTTTAGTTCAATTTCTTTATACCTGCAGTGTGGCATTTTTATGGTGACCCAGTGGTTCAGAAAATAAAAACAAGCAAACATAACAGAATCAAGCCACAACACAAAAATGCTCCAGTGCACCGGATTTATTAATTAACTACTAACTGGCTAAGGCTAATTATATCCACATTTTTGTTAGTAACCTGTTGATTTTCAAACCTTAAATAATGTAGCATTTTCTTAAAATATCCACATATGTGAATTCTGTATTGTTAAAATTGTATGTATTCCCTTTCTATTATTGGAATCTGATTTAAGCTGTGTTTGTAGGAGTGTGTAAACAATTGTCATTATCGATAGCGCATCCTGAGTTCAAGTCCCAGCTTATAGACCTTCCCACCCTCCACTAGAACTTTGTTTTCTTTTTTCTATCACATAAAAAAACATTGGCTAAAAGAAATGTTTAAAAAATCTTAAGGTGCTTCTCCACAGCATGGCAGTTTGGTTTGTTATGGCTCATTTTGGGGGCCACTATGTTCCATACCTAGTACCAAGTACTTTATAACTACAACCTTAGGTGACGTTTTAAGTGAGCTGTATCATTCATCACCACACTTCCAGACTCATTGGAATTGTGACACGAGACACAAAACCTGCTATATAAATTTGCAGATGCAGCAAAAGCTTGTGCATGTCTTTGTCTGCTTTAGAATAGATTACTGTAATTTACTCTTCATCTGGATTCCTGACAAAAGTATACAGAAATGACATGAACAGTGCTGCCACTTCTTGGTAGTCAAGGAACTGATTCAGTGTGAGCTGGATGGGAAAGATTTTAAGGTATTCACAGCAGTAGAGGTGACACAATTATAGTGATAATCTAGTGCTTCCCACACATAGGCTTTACTTGGGCAGGCCACCCAGGTGTATTAACGACTGCCCAAGTATATTTAGTGGCACTTCTTTTTTTTTTTTTTTACTATTATTATCATCCTTTTACACCTTTTTTGTATATTCGTCCAATATAACCAAACATCTGCGATCAATTAAGTAGTGGAAAGTCTTCGTTTTGCATGCGCGAGACTTGTCAACACTCCCACAGACAGCCTCAAGTGCTCTGCAGACCCACAGAGACGTGCCTTTTTAATACTTCAATAAAAAAAACTTTCTCAACCATTTGGTAGAGCAGGCAGTTAAAGGGTTATTTAAATAATCTACACATTTCAATCTTGTAAATATTATAAGTTTTTGAGATATTGTTTTTTTCCCCCTTTTTGTCATTTGTTTCTCATTTGCTGTATATTTTATATACTTGTCTAAAATTATTTGGCATTTAAGATTGTTTTAAGCTTGAAAGAGAGAGATGAGCAGAATCTATGTGTCAGTGGGTGCACATGGCTCCAGAAAAGCATAAAAGTAAGAAAAAATGTGGATTTCTTTTTTTATTTCAACCGTCTTTTTTAACTTTATTCCATTAAAAAGAAACTGTGTATAACAATGTATAACAATGTCATAACAATTAAAATTATTGTTAAAAATTAAATTAGGTTTTGTTTTTCGTATATAGTTAACTATTTTTGTGATGTGGTTAAATGTTTTTTTAATCTAGCTACCATCGCAAGTATATTTCAAACCTGTGGCAAAGTGTCTTTAAGACAAGTCATTTTACTCGGCGGATATTTTTTAACACCTTTGGGGAGTATGCTCGTACATTCTGTTTGAATAAGGAAACATCAAATTGTCCAAAAATTCCAGCCAAGCTTATGATTGAATTTCATTTATGAAATCATCAATAATTTTAAACAACAACTGTTTCTTTAGTTTCATGTCTAAAGTTCGAATTACACAAAATCTGCAGAAACTCACGTCTTGTTTGACCCCCTCTCCCAGAGTATCGTCAGTTAATTGCGATCGAGGATTGGCTCCTGTACTAGAAGGCGGGCTTTATTTGCCATATAGCAATCAATGATTGGCTTCTGTACTCGAAGGCGAGCTTTATTTGCCATATTGACTGTTACACTTTTCCCCATTCAAAACGATGCGAGTAACATGTCTTATGCATTCTATAGTCTTTGCCTGTGGGAAGCACTGTAATCCCTCCCATTTTTGTACTAAACTGCAATGGAAATCCTGGGTGAGCATTGTAACTTTACTTGTACACCTTTTTCATGAAAACTGGCACTTTGCTTACATTATTATTACAATTCAGTTAGACAATCAGTTTACAATCGCTTGTCTCATCCCTCTTCAGAAGTGTGCTAAAATCAAACCTGATGGCATTATCTAACAGCAGAAATACTCCGTGGTGCAGTTTTTCAGTCACAAAAATGTGTTAAAGAGCTATTCACACATAATGAGTCATTCCTTCTAAAATGTGAAAGACAGCATGAATCTTTTTTTAAAAGAGTCTCCTCTGCCATGTTAACATCAAATAATGCTCACAGTGGAAAAGTAGCACATTAAACTGTGTGGATAGATCCTAAAAATGCTACTCTGAATGTTTTTTTCCGATATTCAGGAGTGTTGTGTTGTAGCCTAATTCTGATATGTTGTGACTTGCTTCTGTTTCTACCTCTGTCTGTCTGTTTCACAATCACATAATGCTGGCTTTGCTTTTATTTCTTTCAAACTCCTAGCGTTGGATGTTGTCAGTTGTTCTAGTAAACTTCACACCTCTGGCCTCAAGAGGCACACTAGAGACTGACATATCTTTCTTATTAGCTACTAAAATTTAACATATTCTCATTTGTCTGGAAGCACACTATCAACGGTTAACATACATATTTATGCTGCATTTTGTCTGAGAAAAAGTTCAGATTTTTTTTCAGATTTAGGTTTTTTTGGCAAACATGAAAACAAAAAAAAATCAAAAATCAAATTTTATCACATCTATTTGGTTTTAAATCAGATACATATCCAGTATCTGGATATCTGACCTGTCTTAATAAACAGCCACCATAATGCTAGGGCGATGCACTTGCCTACAGTTTCACACATGCACGTTCACACACAATCGGTCTCTCACTTTCTGCCTCTTTAGTTTATTCAAATGCATTCAAATAAATGTTGGCAAATCTTGCATGCTACTTAATTTCAATTCTAGATATATACAAACTGCAGATGCAAACTTTTTTCACTTTTAAATCCTTTCGGTCAAAGTTTGCAGCATGGATATCCACAGCTTTCAGATTAATGCAGAATGTTAAAAGTATTGCATACAGTCAAAAGATCAGATCTGTGCATTAAGACTTGCAGTATAAACGCAGGCTTAGTTGTATTGCCCCTTATGGGTTGCATTTAACACAGTTTGGCTTTGAATTTTTATCAACTGTCATAAAGTTTTGTCATCTTTGCATTTATATATTGCAAACCAATTGAGGAATACAAATTGTTTCAATAACTTTTTATTTTTATTTGAATCTTAAATTAGCTTCTTGGTTAAAGTTTAAGCTGGTAGCTTTTTTTGAAGACTTTTTTTCTTAAAGGGGTGGTCCAGAGTGTATTTTTAAGGCTTGGTTGTGTTTATTAGATGCAAAGCAATGTGTGCTCATGCTTCATTTGTAAAAAAAATCACGTTATTTTTTATATACTTTGATTATGCGCTGCTACTCAGTTAACATGAAAACAACTGTTATGTTTCCTAGTTCCTCAGAAAGGCCCGCCCTCGAGAGGCTCTGGTTGGTCAGCTAACACAATGTGCAGTGATTCACCGGTCAGGAAAAGTGTCACGCCCCTACAAGCATGTGCTTTTGCTCTGTGTAAACAAACACTGTTAGTCTGAGTAGATGTTAGCTATATCAGTTTGTGCCTGAATCAAACAGAAAATGACACAGAGTACACAGCTGAACGTCACGCCTGCTCTCTAAAATAAAATCTGACAAGTGTCTTTCACATGTATTCATAATAAGCATGTGTAAGTAATATGAAACATTCTCATACCTTTTGTGACTTCGTTATTTGAGATGTAGAACGCAGGGAAAGCGGCTGCATAGAGAGACACTGCAGCACTGGTGAAGATTGTGAGCGTTTACAGCGGTTTGCTGTATGAATATAAATTTATAGCTAAATTGTTAGCGGTGACAAACAGCAATTTCCCGTTTTTTACATCCTTGTTTAAGTCTTCGCTACGACATACCGTTAACGCTAAAAACTGTGCATGTAACAGATTAAATTGAACAAATAAAAATACCAACAAGCTGTGGCTCACAATCCACAGTTTCGTCTATACTGAAAAGCTAAAAGCTGTCCTTTTTCAAATACTAGCTATAGATTTTTTATAATTCTCTGGAACATAATTAAAATTAAATTGTAAGCACTTATCTCCTTGTGTCGTGTCCTTTGAAAGCCCAAATACAGAAACAGAAGAAGCTCTGTGGAAATAGCAACGTTGGACAGCATTTTAGCTTGCTCTGTTATAACATTACAGCGTCTCTGGCCACACCCCATTGATGCACGGGGATTATGTTTGTGGAGAATATTCGTAACCTGAAGCATTTGTGATCTCACTAACTCTGGTGTAATTTTTTGTGGTCCCCAGACTTTGTTCGCTGTAGGTTTTGCTAAGCTAACTCTATAAAAGCCAATGTCTCTCTTTGCATTGAACTTTAAGCATCTTACATTCAGAGATGTTGTTTATGTTCACAAAGCTACATACACATGAACTAAATTTTAAAATAAGATATTATAGTGGACCACCCCTTAAAGTTTATTTTGACAGCATTATTTGCACATGTGAGTCAAACATAATGTTCTCTGATAAACATGTTACATTGGTCAAATGAATGAAAATCTATTTGTTTTTATTAATATGAAAATTGACAATCAGTTAAAATCTATTATTATTAGTGTCTGATCTGTTCTGCATCTTTTTTTTTTTTTAAATAACAGATTTTGATCCTGGTTACCCAATTATAGCTGAGCCATGGTCCTATTTACTTCCTGTGCCTTAAACAGCTGAGGTTTGTCCAGTAGTTATACCAAAGTGTATTTTTAACTTGCTTATGTCTGAACATTCTTAAATGCCCTTAGATATTTAGATCTTAAATTAATTTGAAGCTGCAGAGCATATTTTTCCCAGTTAAATAAACTCTGAATATTTATTTATTTCTCATTGGCAAAATTTCAGAAGATATCAAGACTTATTTATAAAATCAAATATGTCATTCTTTTGCCTTCTTGCCTGTGTTATGAAATTGAATTTAAATTAATGAAAGTCAGTGTCTGTTAATCAGAAATATTTTCTTCAAAGGGCAGTAATAGTTTAAAAAAATGCAAAACAAACACCTAATGTAACAATTAAAAACAACTATTTCTTCTTGTCAGTCAGGATATAGTCACTTTCCCTCGAAGAGGCCTCAGGAAAGTACACATCAAAGAGATGTCTTTACAGAACCTATGCAGACAGAATTATATAAAAGAAATACATATATACATAAATACATATATAAATATACTGATTAAAAGATCTAACACAATCTAGAAATATATAATGTTGTGTTGCAAATAAGTTGTGTTTGAATTGACTATAGCGCAACTGTAACTTGTTTTTAATGTGAAACTAATTTGATGGTTTGTCTTTATTTTTTTTCTTTAAATCTTGCTCTTTTGAACAATTTTTTTTTTTTTTTTTGTATTTTCTTTGTGTTGGAAATAACATGTTATTATGTTCTGTACGTAAGGGATA